CGACCTCGCACTCATAGGCGTGCTAGAAGGAGGTGCCGAGGGTGATGACCCCGTCGGGGCCCGGTATTTTTTAGTTTGAGGTATGTATAGTTGGGGACGGCCGTGAACTTCATGTAGCATGGACGTCCTAGGATGGCGTGGAAGGTTCTAGGGAACCTGACCACCTTGAAGGTGAGGGTTTCCATCCTATAATTGGACGGATCCTGGAAGGTAACGGGCAGATCGATCTACCAAAGTGGCATGTCCTGCTTTCCGGGCACGATGCCGTGGAAAGGTGCTCGGGTTGGGCGGAGGCGTGTTTGGTCGATGCCCATCTCATCGAGCTTCTTGGCATACATGATGTTGAGGTCGCTGCCTCCATCCATTAGTATTTTGGTGAGCCACTTCGTGCCGACGATTGGGTCAACCACGAGCGGATCTCCCTGGATGCGGGATGCTCTCTGGGTGGTCGGTCCAATCGAAGGTTATGGTGGATTCTGACCATCGGAGGAAGGCCGGTGTGGCCCGTTCGGTCATATAGACCTCGCGACGCGCGACCTTCTAACGGTGTTTGGAGTTGTAGGCCGCCGATCCTCCGAAAATCATGAGGCAACCGTTCGATGTCGGAAAGCCATCGTCTTTCTCCTCGGCGTCGTCCATGGTGGGGGCAGGGTTTTTTCCATGCTCTCTCTTGTTGGGGCCTCCGAACAAGAACCGCCTCATTAGGCTACAGTTCTTGTATAGATGCTTAACCAGGAAGGCATGGTTCAGGCACGGACCCTCGAGTAGTTTTTTGAAATGGTTTGGAGTGCCCTCCGTGGGCTTCCGACCACCCTTGCGGTCAGCAGCAGCCACGAGCGAGTCCTCGCACTGTTGCTTCTTGTTCTTCCTTTTGGTAGAACGATTGGAGGTGCCTTCACCGACGCCGTCGTCCCGCCTTGCCTTGCCCTCGAGACGATCGAAGATCGCTCCGACCACTTCTTCGCCCGAGGCGTGGATAGTGGCAATGCCGAGGAGTTCCTTGGTGGTTCATGGGCCCTTACGTCCCAGCTTGTGAACTAGGGACTCGTAGGTGGTCTCAGATAGGAAGGCTCCTATGACATCGGCGTTGGCAACGTTGGGTAGCTCGTTGCATTGCCAGGAGAAGCGTCGGATGTACCCACGGAGGGTTTCTCTGGCCTTCTGCCAGTAGTTTTTGAGGTCCCATGGGTTTCCAGGGCGCTTGTATGTGCCCTGAAAGTTCCCCACGAAGATCTCCTTCAGATCCGCCCAACTCTAGATTGCGTTGGACGGTAGGTGTTCCAACCATGCTCATGCCGAATCGGCTAAGAACAGTGGAAGGTTGCAGATAATAAAGTTGTAATTATCTGCACCACCGGCTTGGCAGGCAAGCCGATAGTCTTCGAGCCATAGTCCAAGGTTTGTTTCCCAGAGTACTTCAGGATATTGGTCGGTGGTCGGTACCTCGGTGGGAAAGCAGCGTTGAGGATGTGACGACCGAAGGCTTGAGGGCCCGGTAGACCGGGGCTCGGGCTTCGGTCCTCACCACTGTCATAGCATCCACCGTGATGAGGATGATAGCCGCGACGGGCTCCTTCTCTCGGGTCATCGTAGGTACATCTACGGGCGTCGAGGGTGCTGCGTGCATCGTGGTTGCGGCCGAGACGCTGATATACCAGGACCGCGACGCGCTGCCCACCGCCCTGTGGTGCCTGGTGGACTGATGCGTCCCTGCCGAGCCGCTTGGAGAGCGTGCGTTGGCTGACGTCGAGCTCGTGTCGCTGAGACAACAAACTTTCTACCTGCTGCGTCGCCGCACGCTCGAGTAGCGTGCGAATCTCATGGTAGGCCCGATGAGCCTCGGGCGTCGTGGCCTCGCCGTCGCGGCGGTGATGTTTTGGCTTGCCCGGGCGAAGCGAGGGAGGGCTTCATCATCTGCGATGATCCTCTGGTTCACGTCGCGGGCCATGGCGCGTGCGCGCCCACCGTCTCCGTGGTGTTCGATCTCCCGATCGAGCTCCATGCATTCCTGCTCAAGCTGGAGTCGCGCATCCTAGATCTTCTGGTGTCGGGCTTTCAGCTGCTCCACCCTTATGCAAGGTGGGGCCACTGTCTCCCCCTCGGCCTCGTTGCAGAGGTTGTTTGCCGGGGTAGCCTCCTCCTCAGGGACGCTTTCGACGTGTCCCTCGGGGGTACCCGTCATGAAGCATTCCCAGGAGGGGTGATGGCTCTCCCTGCTGGAGTCAGAGCCAGAGGGCGACCTCGGCTCCTCTATGAGGAGGCCATGGAGCGATTCCGTGACATATTCGATCATCCCCACGAACTCGTTGTTCGCGGGGAATAGGATCATGCGTTGTGCCACAAGGTGGCTAACGGGCGCCGCGGCGTTGCGGAGACTGAACGGAAGCACTATTGGGGCGCTCCATGTGGGGTGTTTCGGAGAGAGGGTGAGGCGGCATGGGTCCTTCTTGGACTGCTGGGGTCCTAGGGAGATGCCGAGCTAGCGCTCAAGCCTCCTATAGTCGAGGCCGATGGAGGGGAGAGGTTGGACGGCGGCGTGAGCTAATGCCAACTCTCCTCCCACCGTAACGATGAAGTCCAGGTCACCGAAGCACACGTGTGCGCCCGGGACCCAGCTGATTTCGTGGCTAGCCATTCGTGGCCTAATGTCAATGTCGAAACGCGCAAAGGTCCCTTACCTGACGCGCCAACTGTCGGTGTTTTGAGTAAACACCAACGAGTAAATTTGTATTTATTGCGCGTTGGGCCCAAATAGTGTGCTAAAAGACACAGGATTTATACTGGTTCATGCAGAATGTCCCTACGTCCAGTTTGCTGCTGCTGCTCGTGTTATTAGCACTGAAAGATTCGTAGTAGGGGGTACAAACGATCGAGAGAGGGATATGTCCCAAGTCTCTGATGGAAAGGTTAAAAGGGCGCTGAGAGCTTGGTTGCTGCTCAGCATTGTATTATGTGATGCATGATGTGTTGAATCGATCCATCCTTTTAGTGGGGTGCCCTGCCCTCCTTTCTATAGATCAAGGGGGGCAGGTATTACAGATGGGAGAAAAAGGAAAAACCAGAGGCAGAGAAGATCCTTCGAAGGTGCCGTGTCTTCCTTTTCCTTTGAGCCTACCCTGCTAACACGGTAGACGGTGCCAGGGATAGCACGTTAGCTGATCCTGATAGGGCCATGCTCTGTCTTCGTTCAGCAAGTGGTCACGTCCCATCCCACTCTGACGGGCGGCGCGGGGCGTCAGGGTGCCGAGCTGTGACCCTACGGGGAGCAGATGGCGTAGAGGCCCCACGTTCGTTACTGTAGATGACATAAGTTTCCTCCTGGACCGTAGTGGTTGTCGTATGTTTCCGTTAGGATTCGTGTCCGAGGGCAAATGCCGGCGCCCATAACACTGTAGGACAAATGTCGACGCCTACAACACTGTTTGGGCTCTGACATGTCTGGAAGGGGTTAAAGTGTCCGTCTGGTCATATCCTGATGGTACTTTCCTACAGGCGTGCAGGGTATGGTCCTCGGTATTGCGGTTGACTTGAATACCTCGTCTTATCTGCACACGTAGTTATGAAGGAGTAGCCCTCGGACGTCGGACGAGGCGGAGTCTGCTCCCAGACGTCGGGCGAGGCGGGTGAGGCGGAGTTTGCCCCAGACGTCGGGCGAGGCGGAGTCTACCCGCGGTCGTCGGACGAGGTGGAGCCTGCCTTCAGACATCGAGCGAGACGGAGCCAGCCCTCAGTCGTTGGACGAGGCAGAGTCTGTCCCCAGACGTCGGGCGAGGCGGAGTCCAGCCCTCGTGGGTTGGGCGAGGCGGAGCCAGCTCAGAGGTCGGACGAGGCGGAGCCAACCTTTGGTCGTTGGGCAAGAAGTGTAGTTGTGTTCTTGTCTGTTCGGAAGAATCAACGTTTGATGTTTATTAGCTTCTCCTCTTTGGGTACCCCAGTATTCGGTCCCAATAAGCATATACCATGCTCAATCTAATAATACTTATTATATATCATAAATATTAATATTATTATATATATTTAATTAATCTAAAAGATTTAACTCCTCAATAAATAAGATGTGCGTTTATTTTAGGACGGAGAGAGTAAATTATAATCTAGAATATCATGTCAAACTACGGTTGGTCATCAATAATATATATTTTATCTATTTCTAAATAACTGTCGTTCTCATTTTTTTAAAAATAATTTTGACTAATTTTATATTAAAAAATATTAATAATTATGGTACAAGTTCCCTCCGTCTCTGGACAATGTCGCCACCAAATACTCCCGGCCGGAGTCGATCGAACCCACTGGCTTCCCTCGGTCGGGTCTCTCCAAAACAGCAAAGGCGCCGAAGCAGCTACCGCCGCACTCGAGTCCGCCGCCGCCGGGCCGCTCCAAATCGGCACCGCGGAGCGGGTTGGCTGGTAAGCAATCCTACCTTTGCCCTGACTGATTACTCGTTCTCGATCGAACCCAAACCTTTCTCTAGCACTGTGAGCTTTGGATTCGCCATTCGCGTGCGGCGTCCTGGTGCTCTACTTGCGAACCCAATCTGTTCACCCGTCCATTTTTTTCTCGATTATACGGACTTTCCTGCTTCTCCGGCACGGGAATCCACTGGTCGATCGTAGTTGATGGTACACTTGTTGCTTGGCTTATTTTCCTATCATAAACTAAAGTTTTTGGGGGGTCGCCTGTTCCTGCATTGCTCATAGGAGATGAAAACGAATGTTATGCATTTTAAAATTTGGGGAAATTTACCCCTTAGGTTATATGAAACCGCATATCTTCGTGGATGAGTTTTCGTTCATAATATTGGAGTATGGGGACTATCTAGTTGTTATTATATTCTGAAGGCTAGTGCCTCTGTTCCGAAGTGTAGATTGATGGACTTAACCAGCAACTGGAGTGCATCTATCTCCCGTCTATCAACTGAACTGGATTCGTTTTGAGACATTTGTACACAAAATTGCTTGAATCCTGCTGCATTTTTTTTTTCAGGGAACTCGTTTGCTATGATGGAAGAGGGCAGCGACTACTATGTCGTCAGGAAAGGTGATGTGGTGGCAGTTTACAAGACTCTAAGTGACTGCCAGGCTCAGATTTGCTCTTCGGTATGTATAAACAGCGTGGAACTACAAATATTTAGATGATTGTACTGTAATGTTGTTTGCATCTCATATTTTGCTGATGCTTGAAGGGTTATGTTAATTTGATTTTTCACTTTTACGAAATGAAAAAGTTCTACCGAAATACATTGAACCTACCTTTTGGCGATGCTAATACCAAATTATTTAGGAGAACACCACATTCCCTTACTCCCTAAACTCCCTGACATGTATTACATTGTCTTTCTATACTTTGTTTCTTTTGGCTTCTTGTTTTGTCATGTCCCGAAATGGGGGATCTTAGATCTATACAAGTATGCACATCAACTTGAGTAGCCTCTTAGCTTGCTGTCTCCCGTCTAAGCGAACCACTCCAATAATGTCTACAAATAAGTTATCTAAGGTTTCAGCTGTTTCTTCATGTTTATTAGGAATGACATTGTTACTAATACACTGCTAGTTCTATGAATAGAATAGATATTTCCCCGAGGCTAGGTTGGCAAGATGTTTAAGAATCCTTTATTTTAGTTTAATACACAACGATTGTCACTATCTGTGAAATCTTGCGCTAGCTATATACTCATATAAGATTTGAAACCATAATAACTGTTCAGTAATTAATGGTATAATTGCCACTCATAAGCTTTTTTGTTCTTTTACTAAAAGTCATTTTCCTGGCTACCACAGGAACTTATTTGACCTTGCACAATATCCCTTACCTTGTAATCCTAATGAAACTCCCGTCAAGTATGTGTAGTATTACATTATTTTAGCTATGTTTTGTTTTGATTTTGTGTTTGATCTGGCAAAATGTTTTAGCAGCAGACTGTCTTGCTGCTAAACTGTTCAACTGTATTTTTCTATATTCTATTTTTCTTCTATCATTCTTCAAAATTTAAACAAATACTGTGAAATCTCACTGAAGCTACATCAATGTCCCTAAGGAATTCTATAAATGCAAGTCTTGTCAATTACATGCATTCTGTGATGGACATTATCTCCTTAGATTGCTGCTTCTCTTCTCTTAAAGGTATCTGGTCCTGCTGCAAGTGCCTACAAGGGTCACTCTTGGAGCAGAGGAAAGGAGGAATACCTGTCTTCACGGGGGCTAAGTGATGCTACTTACGTAATCAATGCAGCCGAACTTAGGGAAGATGTACTTGGTCCCCTTGTGCCCTGTAGTTTCCAGGTAAAGTGCTGAAGATTTCATTGATTGTGTAGTTCCATCACTATTTGGCACATTGGAATCTTTTAAAAAATACTGAGTTCGCGGGTTGTCTGCTAGGATATGGATATTTTCTTGTTCGTATCTTCTGCTCACTGAAGTCTCATATTTTCCAGTATCCTTTTCTTTGCAGGACATACTTGGTTCTAGTCCAAATCAACTGGCTCCAAATCATATAGGCTTCCATAATGTTATAGCATCTCAGACTGGGGCACAATATGTTGATCTGAACTATGTAAGTATTGCAAGAACTCAAATATCAGCAATAAAGTCAACATCATCCTCATATTGGTGTCTAATATGATACACAATCCTCAGATGCCAACTAAAGGCAGAGTGGATATGAAAAAGAGGAAGATTAGAATTCTCTAAGGCAGAGTGGATATGAAAAAGGGGAAGATTAGAATAATCTAACACATGCATTTCCCCTTGTAATGGTATTTCACATGGCTGGCATCATAAGTTCATAAATCATAAAGCATGTACTCCCCCCATTCCAAATTATAGGACGTTTTGGCTTTTCTAGAATACATTGCTTTTACTATGTTTCTAGACATGGCGTATATCTAAGTCATAGCAAAAGCTATGTATCTAGAAAAGCCAAAACGTCTTATAATTTGGAATGGAGGGAGTATTTAATTTCCAAAGCAACTTGCCTAGCAAATCGGCATATGTCTGATGTGAAATGCATATTAACAAATGAAACTATGCATGGATTTTGTATATGTGAATCCATGCTTGTACTGATTTACACCAACTATACATGTACATAAGAAATTTAGAAATCCATGGGAGATGAACTTGACCTTTAATCTTAGGCAAGTTGTTTTTTTTCCCTTACTGGCATGGTGTCTCAATCACTATTATCTCAATCTGCCTATTCAGTCATAAAAGTTTATTATGTACCTCTTAACTCACCACTTGTGTTAGTATTGGCATTTTCTGTATGTGTATGATGAGCTTATGCTGCAGGAAGCCAGATCTAGTTCCTTCGGGCATAAGTCACCAGCAAATTTCAATCATACTGGAGCTGTTGATGCACAACCTATCTCAAAACAATACGTAAGTTCAATCATGTTTGGGTTAATTACTTTCCACCTTTACCACAATACTTGCACCTATCAGTCTCTTCAGTTTCCATGCAACTATTTTATTGAAAATATTGTCTTGATTATGCTCTGTATCAAGTAAACTAAATAGTATTGACTCAGTATGATTCTATGGTGAATACTCTTTAACTTTGTTGTGCGATAATATGAACCAGACTTTGTTGTGTAACAATATGAACCAGACAGGTCTTCAACCACATATCTATTACCACTAAATTTGTATTCGGCAACTTAAAAAGAAAAACTCTCTGAACTTGGAATGGTAGCATTTTATATCCAAAATCAAGATGCAGTTCATGATTAAGAGAAGAATTTTTCAACCTTCTGTACTTTGCACTCCTTTAAGAAAGCTAGTTCAAAATCTAGGTTTCAGGCTTTTGGTTGATTTCTTCTTTTCCTTTACGTTTGAGGCTCTGAGTCCTGGTACTTTTCTTGTCCTCTGGAGACTTATTATTTCTTGTATATTATTTGTGCCGTGTACTTTCCACTGTCCTTAGAAAAAGGCTGGTGCATTAATAATCTATATGGGGGGAAAAACGTCAGTACCACAAAATCGAACAGAGCAACAACTTAATGTAGAACAACAAAGCTATCAACCCTTAATATACCTTTTAAATGATATTACTTTGTGCTGTTGAGGGAAAGTGTTGCATGTGGACAAATTATGGTAATCAAACAGATTGCGAGGCTTGTTCATTTAAGTCTGCATTCTTGCATGCAAAAGATTCTAGCTAAAAGAGATTTATGGTAGTGCTAGAAACAAATTACAATGCAAGGCTCAAGTACTGATTTATCTTAGCTACATGTTTTTATGCACTTGCATGATTCAGATTAATGTCTTGTGATGCTTCCCAGTTCCCATCATACATGATATTTATTTTCATGCATAAGTTGATACTGGGTTTTGCACTTATCTGGTTATTCAGATGGTGGGTATTCTTCATTTTGATGGTGCTTCAAAAGGGAACCCAGGAAAAGCAGGTGCTGGAGCTGTGCTTATGACTGAAGATGGTAGAGTGGTATAATCAAATACTTAGTGCACTTAAAAAAGCTATTGTTTGCGGTTGCTCCATCTATCACTGGGTTCACTGATGTTATCCAATAACCTTGAAGATATCTCGGCTTCGTGAGGGTCTTGGTGTCGCTACTAATAATGTTGCTGAGTATCGGGGCCTGATCTTAGGACTGAAATATGCGATTCGGCATGGATTCAAGAGAATTAAAGTACATGGGGACTCTCAACTTGTCTGCAATCAGGTATGGCTTTTTTCACTATAGTAATCAAAGCTTCATCCCTTACTTTACTTGGTTGTCTAGCTTCTCAGTTTTGTCATGATAGACATTTCATCCTGCTTAAGGAAAGAGGCAAGGGCAATTTGGAAAAAATAGAAGAGCAACCTGTATAGATGTGTTTTTTCTTTACATACTATTCTACCTAAAAATAAAAATAGTGTTCCTCTTGTTTCACTCTACAGAAATACAGTAACTGAGCAAAGCTAAATAACGTTGTCAATGTTGTCTTAGCATTGTTCTCTGTGCAATTTTATATTCTGAAAGTATGGAACATGTGCACAAGTACTCTTGACTTAAGATTGTCGAATCATTTATGCCTTTTCTTGAGAACTACATTCATTGTTCAATCGATAATGTTCCTCTCCAAATGAAATATTGGACCAGAGAATTATGGTATCAAGAAAATGTTGTTGTTGCTGCTTCTTACGGCCTTCTCTACCCTAAATAGGTGAATGGTGTCTGGCAAGTGAAGCAGCCGAACATGATCGAGCTGTGCAAAGAAGCGAGAAGGCTAAAGGAAAACTTTCATTCCTTTGAGATCATCCATGTTCGACGGGTATGCAGTGCATTTACAGTTTTATATAAGCTTGCAGACTCTTTGGTTTTGCATCATAGATATTGGTCAAATCAGATATTCGTCGCACCATAGTTGATGTTATTTGCAAGTACTGACCACTTGTATATGCTTTAATTAAGCAAGCTACCACAGCAATGGTTGCTTTCATCAGATTGAAAGAAAAAAACAAGCAGCATTAGTTTCTATTGTTCTGCTAAGTGCTTTGCTGATTTTACCCCGTTCCTGCTTCTGAATGAAGGAGTGGAATGCTGAGGCGGATCGCCAGGCGAACATCGGTATCACGCTTGCAAGTACACAACATCCATCATCCCTCATTCTAGTTTTCTTTCTTGTTTTCATAAAAATCACTGGCTACACTACATTGCAGGTGGCGCCGTGTCTGAGGAGCGTGGTGACATCTGATACATCAGTTACCAACTTATGTAATTAACTATAATTAGCTGGACCTTTGGCTTTCCACCTTTGTCGAGCTGCTAGCCTGCTCTATGGCAGGAGCTGAGGTGATGGTTTGCCGTCTACGTAGTAGGCACTATATCCAATTACTTTTGCACTAGTTGGACCCATTTCACCGTCGAACTGCGACGGAAGTCTGATTTTCTGTATCCAGTTGAAGGTGATGCATGTTTAGGGTTGGGTTGGACCTTGATAGAGTGCTGGGGGTACTGGGCCCACTTTGATGAACCCAGTAACTACTAGTGTAAGCTTCGGTCCATGGACCCACTCTTGGCGTTTTGGTGCATCATGTAAGTTAACACTATGGGGCCACAGTTTGATGCTTACCGTAAGTCCGTAACTGTGCTTTGGAAGCTTGCCCTCAATTTGAGGTGGTTCGATAAGTTGATCTGGGAAAGGCCGTTAGATGGCTACTTAGGCCAGTCTCAATGGGAGGTATCATGTCTAGTTTCCAAGACATGACACCAAGAATGAAACATGATGAAACAGAGCCCCTCAATGCAAAGTTTCATTTCACTGTTTCATAAGCTAGCTTTATCATTTAATTCTTGTATTGTGTTGTGATCAAATGTGTTATGCGAACTATGTAGCCATTTTAGAACATGATAAAATTAGCCAATAAACATGGTTTATCATACTTAGCAGAACAATTCACCATACAGAATCTCATCTCGTGGAAAAGGGAAGGCTTTCACACTTAAAAATGACAGCATTCACTCAAGCACTAGATAGCAGTTTCATATTACAAACTGATCGGCATTCCAGGAGAAAAGAAAAAGTAATTCTGGTTGAGCTCTCACTAGATGCAGCTAAAACTGAAATTATAATGAAAATAGCAACAATGAAAAGTAATTCAGGAAACAGCACACTAAAAAAAGTGTGGCCAAAGCAGCCTACCAGAAGAGCACAGATGCACCTCGGCGGTAGAACATTTAGAAGTGAATACTGTAAAAGCTCAGACTCGTGGCATGAAAGAAATTCGGGAAGAACTGAACAAGAATACTGCACTAGATTCGGTACTACTTCCTCTGTCTAAAATAGAAGTTATTCTCGGAGAAGTCAACTTTTTTTAACTTTGATCAATTATATATAAAAAATATTAATATTTATAACATATAATTAGTATCATTAGATAGATCATTGAATATATTTTCATAATAAACTTATTTAAAGATAAAAATGTTGCACGTATTTTCTACAAATCTATTTAAAGTTAAGAAAAAGTTTGACTTACACGCTATCCATAACGTATTCTTTTGGGGGCGAAGAGAGTAACAACGGTACGCACCAACACCATCACCCAGTGTCGTAACCCTAGTTCAACACGACGTTATCAACCACGTGAACACGTTTGACCTCGCCGAGAAGGCTTTTCTGCAAGCGAATCGAGAACACAAGCAAGAACAAGATGAACGTAATCTGAAATTGCAAATAAATATGAGGCTTATGAAAACAAGAAGGAGTTCAAGTCTTTATTCGAAAGGACTAATCGCCACAGGCGAACAAGATCAAGAACTGGGGCCCTGGTTCACAGCAAGCGGCCTTGGCGGCGACAGTTGCAGCAAAACGACGTTTGTTTCACGAGAAAATCAAGAACTAAACAAAACCCAAACCCTAAGGAAAGCGACGGCTGCTAATTATAGAGTCTTGGGCGTCACCCCCCTGGACGCGTCCCCTAATGGGCCCAAACACGATACACGGTCTAACGGACCAAAATATGGTGTCGCAGCACCCTGATAGATTCTGGACGCTAACTTGTTTCGACGATTCCTGTTGATTCTGAAGGTCTTTTGACGTGAGACCACTTAGATTGGCTTCCTTATCAAATTAGCTTTCCAACCATATGTGGATCGTCGGAAACGGAGTCCGGATGCGTCCTGGGTGACCAGTTTAAGGCAGACTGGTCCTGGAATCCGAGATGGGCTCCAACTTCAGTTGGACTGGGCCTCCACCATGGAAAAGATGAATTGGACGCCCATGCTAGACCTCCTCCTCTCCTTGGCTTGTAGGTGACGAAGTAGTGATGTCCTCATCATCCTCCCTTTCTTGAATTGAAGTCATCCTCGACTGAAGTAGATCGTCTCCTCCAATGGATGACAGCAACGATCGCTCCGGAAGAAGACGTTCATCTTGGCGCCCCATCCTTCGCAAAGGCGGCTGCCATGGTAGCTTTCCTGCTGGAAATTCATCCTCCTTCTCCCGCAAAAGGTTAGTACCAACAAGAGGCATAGCACTAGGAGTAGGACCAAGTGGACATATAGGCAATATACAAGTTAAAGCATAACATGGTTCATCATGAACAGTACGAACAGATTTAAGAGCAAATGAAACTTCTTTCATGTTACTTGAAGGTTCATTTAATGGTTTGCTAGAGACTTTATCAAGGCCTTTCTTTTTCTTTTCAGCAAGTTTCCTTTCATATTGCACAATTTCAGCCGGTGTTAAAAGAAGTAAAGCAATGGTCTTTACTTTAAACATAAAAGTATATCTATTTTGCCTACCATGATGTACAACATTATTATCATATTGCCAAGGGCGGCCTAACAAAAGTGAACAAGCTTGCATAGGCATGACATCAAAATCAGCATAATCATGGTATGATCCGATAGAAAAATGCACACGAGCAGATTATATTACCTTTGCCTTACCACTATTATTGAACCACTGACCATGGTATGAATGTGGAAGAGCACGTGTAGATAAATCAAGAGTCTTGACAAGCTCAGAACTTACCAAGTTATTGCTGCTCCCTCCATCAATTATAACACGAACACGGAAATTATTGACAATGAGGAACATTTGAAACAAATTATGGCGTTGTAGCTTGTCTACTGGCTCAACTTGTGTACTCAAAACACGCTGAACAAGGATTGATTTGTAGTCTGCAGTGCATGCCACACTATCAATTACCTCATCAGGATCTTCAGCACTATCCACAAATTTATCTGCATAAAGATCAGTTGCAAGTGCAAATTCATTCTCTTCATCACTAGCACTAGCATACCCACCATCATCAGTAGCAATATATACGCGCTTGCTAGGGCATTCTTTAGCAATATGTCCCATGCCCTTGCATCGGTGCCACACAACTTTAGAAGAGCTGCTAGAGGAAGGTGTAGCAGATCTATTGGAAGAAGATGTGATAGGAGAACTCTTCTTTATAGGCGCTGGTGGTGTCTGCATATTAGAATATTTACTCACCTCGGTTGGACATGAAGGAATGGATGGAGTTGCAGATGGAGTCGTGGAACGCCTAGGTTGTCGTCCCTGTACTTCCCTTGCAGCTTTAATAGCATAATGATATAATTGGGAAAATCTAGTCCATTCTTTATAGTCAAGAACATCCTGTATTTCACGACGCAAACCTCCAAAAAATCTAGAACACTTATCCATTTCATCCTCTCATATGTTACTACGTGCTAGACCAATTAAAAGCTCCTGATAATATTCCTCAACAGTCTTACTACCTTGATTTAAACGTTGCAGTTTTAATCGTAGATCACGCTGATAGTATGGAGGAACAAATCTCGATTTCATTCGTCGTTTAAGTGCAGTCCAGGTTTGAGGTATTTGAGCATTAGCATTAACATTAACATTATTGCAAATATCATTCCACCAGAAAAGAGCAAAACTAGAAAACTCACTAGTAGCAAGTCTAACTCTATATTCTTTCGGTACTTGATGGGAGCTAAATTTTTTATCTACAGCCATCTCCCAATCTAAATATGCTTCAGGATCAGTAGAACCAGAAAAGGAGGTATCTTAAACTTGGTTTTAGAGAAAGGATCATTATTACCTTAGTTATTACCTCCCATACCGCGTCGGTTAAAGTTCAACCGATTACGGTTACGTGCATCCTCAGCACGTCGTTGAGCTTCGGCTTCAGCCTCTGTGTCACCATCATCCTCTTCAGAAAGATCATCCTCATCATCTTCAGGACGTGGTTTAGGATGTCGTTGTTCAACATCTTCAATCCTTTTGGTCAAGTTGGTGATTTGCTGAAGGATCTCATTGAACTTGTCATCAAGAACGGCACGAAGCTCATTCTTAGAAACACAGTCATTGAAATCTATAGGTGTGTCCCCGTTTCCTTTGTCGCTGCCTCTGGCTTTTCCTGATATGGTTAGTAGACAAAAGAAGACAACAGAAATAGTATTATCCCTACCAACTACTTAGGTTGTGGATAAGGAAAAACAAGGCACTCAACTCTCAAGCGTCTTACCACGGTCTTACAAGTGTTCTTACCAAAGCAACAGGCGATACAATCGGTCGGTGACTATGATACCGTTGTAGCTCGAGTGTAACAGTTGCAAGGTGAACCTGTACTTGGTTAGAAGAAAGTAGAGCTTGGACAGGCACAATATAGTAGCAAGGAATAGCAATATTAAATGGCCCGAATAACAAAATTTGAATAAGTATCCCGAGTACTTGTCTTAGTTCTTTGGCCTATTAACGTTCCAAGTACCGGATGTATCAAGTGATGGGAATAGCGAGAATATGATTAGGAACAAAGGCGAAAATCAGCACACATAAACCGACTCAAATGACGCTCTCTATATGCTCCTCTAGATATTGTTCCTCTTTTGCCCCTCTTTTTTCTATTTTTTTGGGTTGTCGTTGTTTTTTGGGAAATTTTGACTTTTTCTTTTTCTTTTTTAATATTTTTCCTTTACTTAGGAGCACAAAAGAAGTAACCACAGAAAATATGAGCTTAAACAAGTGAAAGACATGGCCTGTGGAAATTTCAGAAGAAGTGCTCAAAATCGACAAAAACCTTATGACCACGAAAAGAGGATCTTGTGACCACTTTTTGACCAAAATAAAAATCTCCGACCCCGACAAAGTGGGGGATGGACGGATCCGAAATTTTTTCTGATTGATTTTGATATATGGAACGTCGAAATCCGAGTTCGTATGCGAAAACTAGACCAGTTTTACGAACGGACTCCGAATAAGAGGACAAAACAGAAACAATGCGCGCAAAATTGGTCACGACAGCAAGGATTTAATGGAAATAGTGAAGACAAGTGTAACAAATTAGATGGCGTGGACTAGTGTTTGATGGAAACAAAGGAAACACAGCAAGACTTGAAGGTGTTCACGGATTATGATGAAAAACAAAGGGAAAAATACAAACTAAACTAAAAAACAATCTAAAACCAGCAACCAAAATTTGACCTAGGACAAACTCAACAACGCGAAACAGAAACGAAATTGCACGGCACAGCGAGGTTATAGGACAATGAATATGTGGCGGTATATATATTTTTTGGCTTTTTGTGGACTATAGGTAATGCAAAAACAGTAACAATCTAAAGGGGAAAATAAAGTTATACCTAACGGGCAATAAGGTCTCTGATACCACTTAATGTAGACTAAGCCCGATCTTCCGAAAGGTATGATAGCGTCGATTGGTGGAGACTCGACATTCACGATCTAGGCTTCGAACCAAGACTGATTCGGACCCCCGCAACCGTTACACCACTGCTCTGTTGCTTATCAACCACGTGAACACGATTGACCTCGTCGAGAAGGCTTTCCTGCAAGCGAATCGAGAACACAAGCAAGAATGAGATGGACGTAATCTGAAATTGCAAATAAATATGAGGCTTATGAAAACAAGAAGGGGTTCAAATCTTTATTCGAAAGGACTAATCGCCACAGGCGAACAAGATCAAGAACTGGGGCCCTGGCTCACAGCAAGCGGCCTTGGCGACGACAGTTGCAGCAAAACGACGTCTGTTTCACGAGGAAATCAAGAACTAAATAAACCCCAAACTCTAAGGAGAGTGATGGCTGCTAATTATAGAGTCTTGGGAGTCACCCCCCTGGACGCGTCTCCTAATGGGCTCAAACACGATACACGGTCCAACGGACAAAAATATGGTGTCGCAGCAGCCTGACAGATTCTGGACGCTGACTTGTTTCGATGATTCCCATTGATTCTGAAGGTCTTTTGACGTGAGACTACTTGGATTGGCTTCCTTATAAAATTAGCTTTCCAACCATATGTGGATAGTCGAAAATGGAGTCCAGATGCGTCCTGGATGACCAGTTTAAGGCAGACTAGTCTTGGAACCCGAGATGGGCTCCAACTTCAGTTGGACTGGGCCTCCACCATGGAAAAGATGAATTGGACATCCATGCTGGACCTCCTCCTCTCCTTGGCTTGTAGGCGACGAAGTAGTGATGTCCTCATCAAGTTTTCTAGTCGGCTATATGGTAGGTTTTGGATTACAATATCTATAAGAGTCCTAATAAATCAAATCTTCTAGATGCCTTGCGGTGTACGGCGACTAGTGCTCGAGGGCGACTAGGGGACCCCCGCAAGTCTTGATGTCGAGGGTTGGACAGCCCCTGATGGTGTGGCCCATGTCCCTTGTCGTGGGTACCTGGGATTATACCCCCCACAACTCACCGCGTGCTCGTCGGCTGCTACGCCGTGCTCTCCCCCCCCCCCACCCTACACCCTATCGCCGGCTGTGCGCATTGTCCCAGTCACCTGCGTCGCTTGTTCCCTCGATGTCCGTTCGTCCCCCATTGTTGTCTTGCACGCCGCTGACGCCGCCATGGCCGCTGGGGCGCATGTGCCATGGTGCCTTAGCTCTTCCTCGGCCGAGGTAAGGGCACCCACGAGCGTGGCCGGTGCTGGTGGTGCTCGCGCACCGTGGCTCACTGCCAGCTCCCAACCCGACGGCCAGAATCGATCGACCCCGGCCTTCCACTCCCCTATATTGTATATGTATGTTTCAAGTGTTTCAGACGTTTCAAATGTATATTCCAAAAAAAGACGTTTCAGATGTATGTTGCAATTATTTTATCGTGATGTTGCAAAAGTAGACCGGGGGATGTTGCACATGTTGCTTATGTTGCAAGTGTTGTAGAGGCATATTGCAAGCGTTTGTTCCAAATATTTTTATGTATGTTGCAATTGTATTTTTATGTTTCACACATGTTGCAACGGTTGTTCCAAATGTTTCAGCTGTTTTCAGTCTTATATTGCAACAAGTGGTTTCATGTTGCAAGTTGTAATTTGGATGTTTCATGTGTTTCACACACCTGTTGCAAGTGCATGTTCCAAATGTTTTATCTATTTTCAGACGTATGTTGCATTCAAATGTTTTTCATGTTGCCATTGTTTTATGTTGTTCGACCGGGAGCGAGCGGACTTGGCGCGCGCCACGCCGAGGGGCTGGCGAACAGGGGCGCTGGGGGGTTCGTGACAACAGTGGTGCTACTGATCGGGGATGTCTTTGAGGCGTGTTCGTCCTCATTTGGTCATTCAGCTCTGAGTGTTGCCAGCGGAGAGAGGGAGGGTCGGGCGGCCGACCGGCCCTGAGAGGGAGCGAAGTGCGCGCGTGGAGCGAGGAGAAGGCAGACAGGGTTAGGGCGAAGGTGGACGGGGTCGGCCTACGGACGTCCGGACGCGAGATCCTCGTGACAAATAATTTGGCAATACGCTGATGGGCTCATCTAACAGCCTGTGTTCTTCGCAATGGGCCCCTTGAAACCGGGTTTACATTCATGGCTGCAATGGGAACAGACTAATTTGCCACTTTGCACCAAAGCCGTTCGAAATTGATTCAATCGCGAAATGATGGGAGGCGGCGGCAAAGTTTGCTACGCTCCTCCTTTGATTGGTATCACAATTTACATCACATGTAATATCTGAAAGAAAAGAAATCACCGCATCTTGCCATCTTCTAAGTTCCAACGTCGGGTTGTTCGGCTAATAGTTTCTGCGGCTGTTAAGTCGGCTGATGCTGTTTTATTGTGAGAGCAAAACACTATACCATGTCTGATAAACCGGCTGATAAATTCAAGCGAACAGACGGGTAGACTACAGCCGTGAGAGGTGCTTGTGGGCCGTGGCCTTGCATTTCTAGCTTTGTGTTCCAGTGTTTGCTTGCTTGTGCCATGGAGATGGAACTTGAACTTACGAACACATACATGGAGGAGATCCATCAGATCCCAAGGTACAGATTGCAGTGCCATCAAAACAGGACACTGAGAAATGTCGAAGGTTTCTACAAGAGAAACTAACACCTATTACAAGTGAGTCATTCTGTGGCCTGTCTAGCTAGAGAGTGTAACATTGGAGAATCTGTCAATCTTGTGAGTCATGTCGGATATTCATGTTGAGGCGTTGGAGCTTAGTGGTGAGGTGCTTGATGGCCCAATACTCCAATGTGGTAGCTTGGACAGATCATCTGAACTGAGCAATCAGAAATCTCGCATTGTCTGACTGGCCTCTTGGAGGTGCAGTAGATATGCCACTTTTGCAGCAAGAGAGCAGCAGCTTCAGCCATGAGGACAGAGGAGGCAGCATCCATCTGTGCGGACTGTGCCTTTTATATAAAAAAAATCTTGTGCCGTTAAGGTAGCTTGTACAAAAAGAAGAAAAGAGCCTTGCATTTCTACCGTCAAGTATTGGACCATCATTCCATCAAGCACCACATTGGAGTATTGGACCACAGTGAATGAACCTATTTTTTCTAAATCTAGTTAAACTGATTGGTTGTTGGTTGATTATTCGAGGTGCGAGATATAGACTTATCTTAGGATTGAGTACTGTTCATATGCTTATCAAGAATAAGATGGATCAGCTTATTCCATTGTTCGAACTAAACAAAAGTATAAGGAATTAAGGACTGATGAGAAGAGAAATTTGCGTTCGCTTATGCTAAAATTTAATTTATGCTGAAGTTTAGACTGAAATGTTGTTCCATCTTGTACCGTCTTGTTGGAAAATATAACCAAGAAACGCAAAAGAACAGCCAGGCCCTCTGTTCTCTTTGATTAATTGTACTGTTGCTGCATCCTTCCTCTTTCTAATCATAAACCCTGATGGCTGTTAAGCCCTACTAAGACCCGTGAGCAAAAGGTTACACTAATTGTCCAGCAAAATTGACCATAGTACTCGATCCTCCTTCACTTGTCACCCGCGTCAACGGCGGCGGCGATGGCAGTGGTGACGACGACGGGGGAGGCCCTTAGGCGCTGGACGATGCGGCGGTGGTTGGAGTACAGCGTCGGGCAGAAGGTCGGGCTGCTCGCCGGCCGGTACTCTGGCATCAGACCACCTTTCTTGTACCGCTGGCCACATGCGTTGCACAGCGTGCGCCTCCCATCGGGCCCCTCGCGCCACTGCGGCGTGTTCTCCGTCCCCCAGTGCTGGCGCCACCGTCGCGCCACCGCCGAAGCCGGAGCCTGAAGCGCGGCGGCGCGTGCGGCGTGGTCCACGCCACCACCAGATGGGGCTGCCGCAGCCGCAGGACCGTTGTCCGCGGTCCCGCCGCCGGCCATGCAACTGACGCCAACGAATGGGACGCGAAGTCCTTGGTCGAGAGACATTTCACCTCCTCCTGGCCGATTCAACCGCTGCCCCACAGCACGCCCTTCGTCCGCGGCCGCATCGACGCCCACGCCATCGTCACCAGCGCCGGGAACGCGTCGTTGTTCGACAGCCATTCCGTCTCTTCTTCCCTGACTCCGCCGCGGTCCCGCCGCCGCCAGAGCCCGCGGCGCGGTGGCCTCCACGCCACCACCCGCCGGAGCCGCCGCACGCCCTTCGTCCGCGCCCCCGCCGGCGCCATCGTCTCCACCGCCGGGAACGCGTCCTTGCGCCGGAGTCCGAGGCGGTGGCGGCGGGCTCCACGCCACCCTCCGTGGCCGCTGCAAGCCCTTCGTCCGCGGCCGTTGCCCCGCCGGCGCCATCGTGTCCACCGCCAGGAACACGGACTTGTTGGACAGCCGTTCCAGCTCATGTCCCCCCTCCTTGCCGTAGCCGGCGGCGGCAAGGGAGGTCTGGACCGCCTCCCCCCTGAGGCGGCGCAGCTGGACGATGCGGTGATGACGGTTGGAGTGCAGCTCCGAGGAGAAGGTGGGGCTTTTCGCCGGCCGGTACTCCGGCAGCAGGCGGCCGGCCCTGTACTTTATTCCGCACGCGTTGCAAAGTGTGCGGCGCCCCATCGGGCCCTCGCGCCACTGCGGCGTCGACTGTGTCCCGCAGTGCCGGCACTGCCGCCTCACCGCCGCGCTCCACGCCACTACCGGCCTGGATTGCCGCACGCCTTTCGTCCGCGGTCGCGCCCCCGCCGAATCCATCGTCTCCACCGTCGGGAACGCATCCTTGTTCGACAGCCACTCCAGCTCCTCCTCCTCGTCATCGCTGCCGCAGCCGCTCGCCTTCACCTCCAAAGCCTGCAAAAATCGACCTTGCCTCCATCATCTTGCAAGTTGCAACCAAGAGTCCAAGAACCGCAAGCCCTCGACGAAACACAACCCCCCGTACCGTGTGGTCAAAGAAGGCCTGGAGGTCGGCATAGCCGGTTCCGCCACCGAATAGCTCGTCCGCGGCGGCGGCCGCCGAATCCCCGTGGAGCGCGTCCACCACCACCATGGCCACCGTTTGTCTCAACCTTCCCAGACACGGTATAGCAGGGGGGATAAAGCGAAGCAAAAAGACAATTTTCACATTTTTCTTACCTATATCCTATAGGTAATCCTGATATTCAGTGATAAATGAATGAAGTCTGAACTGCAAAAAAAAAAAAAAAAAAGTAAGTTGCAAAGGCAGCGATTGAAGCGCAATTTTCATAGAAATTAGTTTAATTTTATAAAAAAAACAAGGATAGAAAAAAATTGCTTTCCAAACATGCTGTTTGGGGTTTAGACTTTGTAATTTTTGCAAGGCTATAAATATTTTTAAGTTTAAAAACACCAGAAGAAATAGAAAAAGTTATATTCCCTCCATTTCAAATTATAAATTATTTTGACTCTTTTAGATATATATATTTTTTACTATGTAATTATATATAATATATATCCAAGTAAATTTATGAACGGAAAAGATCCAAATGACTTACTCCCTCGATCCCAAAATAAATGTTCATCTCGCACTTTGAGGAGTCAACAAATTCTAAGTTTTGAATGCAATGGATATCTTTTATGATTGGCACAAACAAAGGGGTAGATCAAATAAGATGGTACGAGGCTACTGGACGATTTGGAATAAGGTAATTGATGATTTTGGCTTTTGACAAGCACTAGTATACATGTATGTGCAGCACGTACGTGTTTTAAAAAATAGAGAAATTATCATTAATTTTAAGATGAATTATGGTGGAGAGACACCGTTCGCACTCAAAACTAATATTATGAATGGTATGGCATGTGAGTGAACAACCTCATTTTGTAGAATCAATTGTCATTCAACATGAATATAATACTTAGTAATGTCAATGATTCAACATTGCACATAGGAACTTAATATGATTGCCGACGCACGGGTTTATAAAAAAATCAGCTACCAACAATTCATATTTGTTGGATGCCAAGACTTGACCCCTTAGTAATGGAGGGATAACGAATAAGGTCGTTGTCTTCGATGTGCTTGCTGATGTACCAACAAAAATAACAATTCAGATTTTTTATGTGATTTGCATAAACTCTCTCCATCAAATTGAATCGCTCTTGGACACCATAGAGATACATGAACTGAGTTTCCACTGGTAATAAAGTATTTGAATGGTACATCAGTGTATATGAAGATTACATAAGTAGCAGTTTGGACACGCTTCAGTTTTGTTTTCTTGAGAAATGCAGGCTTTATATTTGATCGACCAGTGTACAAAAATGAAGGATCTGCAGTGACTTGCTTGTAAGAATAAAAGAATATGACAAAAAAAAAACACAAGTACGTATGGAGAAGGTAAATACATGATGCCTAAAGAATTAAACCGACAAATCATTACTAAATGAAGAAGATAACACCAGTGCTTGCATCTTTAATTTTGTAACAAAACACACACTTTTTTGGGATCTTATTTTAACTGAATTGCTATTATGGAGGTTCTGACAAAGCATTTGGTGTAAATCACAGTAGCCCTTGTTAATGCAAGAGAAGCAACTGCGATGCAGATAGCAGCAAAATCAGTTTGGAAATAATGAAAATATACATGTAATAAGGCCACACCGTTTTCTAAGGATGGGCAAATTTTCTTGCAAATTTATGTTACTATCAACTTTAGTTTTTAGGACAATTTGCAGCTCGCACTTCATGTTAACCCCTTAACAGCAGGAGCAATTAAGAAGATTCACTGAAGTATTAAAGAGGGGTACAGGATATTAAAACTTCACCGATGAAAAATTAAGACCAAAAGTAGTATATTGAACGGAAAATAGGTTCTCAAAGGAATAGGAGACAATGATACAAAATTAAAGTTTAAGGAACTATCCTAAATGCAGGCATTTGAAGAAAAAAAATAAACAAACCAAGGAGATCTGACTTTTATTCTGGTAATTCTACCTCCTTTGTCAGCTTGCCACCCAGTTGGTCTGGTATTTTTGAGAAATCTGGAGGGGCTTTCGCCCCTACAGTGAAATTTTTTAATTTAAAACAGTAACAAACAGTTGGTCTGGTATTGATGCTGAAGAGCATTCGGAAGTAGAATCATGGTCTTCAGTGCCAGAAACTGCAAAATGATTTTTGGTATAGAAAAAATAGAAACAATCGTACATAAATGTTGGCTAGTAAAGCACTCAGCTTGTTGCTTCTCTTAAATAGCTCACGAAATCAATATCCTTTGGATCTTGGATAATGAGATACTCCCGTTGACGTGCTGGTCCAGAGCCTGAAGGAAGAACCCAAAATGTGAAAACAACACTAATTAATCACTTAGATTGTAGTGCCTTTTTTTTAGCAAAAGATTGTACCATGCCTAGCAGCAAATCAAGCAAAGCCTTATAAAACTGGTGAAGGAGCTCCAGATCGATAGATTCCCAACTGATTACATAACTCACATCTAAAATTGGTTCAGTGGTTCTATGCTGAAGACAAAAGAATGTAGAAATTATCAGAGATGTTCTTGGCTTGCAGCATATTTCTTTTTTTGTGGGGCCGATTGAACTCTTGCTGCAAATCTTATATATTCTTGTAGGAAACGGAACATTTGAAATGATTGGTGTCAAACCAAACTGTGGTGTGTTTGATCATTACCAAAAAAAACACCGCGAAGTTGCGCCACGACAGCGTGGGCGAAGCGAAGGAGCATGCAGTTGGTCACACGTTCTAGCTATGTTCATCCATGCATCCAACTTAGGTTCCACTGTTAAACCGAGTAATATGAACAGAAGTGAGAACAGAAAGGAAACAAAACAGGTTGGTGGAATTAGGTTCTGTTCCGGAGAATTTGAACAACTGACCGTGCTAGTCCTAGAATTCCCAAAATAGCTTCATGACACTTTTGATCCTGACAACAATAATGGGATTATTTTATTAGCAATGGATGTCTGAAAATTAGTATTTCATCAGATTTTGGTACAAGACATATGGAACGTGGAACATACTTTTAGTAGTGAGAGGGGACGTGCCAAATATTTGGAACATTGTTGAGACTAATAATGCAATCATCCTGAATAAATACTTTGACAGATCAATACAAAACACAGATAAAAATATGAATTGTGATGCTTCAAGTTCTCATACCGGAACATGGCAAAACTGGGAAAGTTTCTCTTTGACATTTTTATTCAGAGGCTGCATATCATAGCTGATAAATTAGACGGTCCAATGTACAGTAAAGGTTTAACTGAAACATGTGAACAAAAACGAAAACAGTATACTGTTGTGCTACGACAAGCCAGAAGGTTTGGCCTCAATCCAAGCTCTCGGAGGCTCTGAACACTGCACTGGGTAGGTTTTGTTTTCTGCATTTTTCAGATAGAGTAACTCAGTATCATTGATCTTCAGTAAAACAAGTCATATATTGAAAACTGGCAATAAATTTAATATTCAATCATGTTCTACCTGTTCGCCAACTATATCTATAACAGGGACAAGGGCTGAATTAACCAAACAAAAATTATTATCCGCTGAAAACAAGAGGTAGCCAATTAGCCTGATCAAACTATGAGCAAATCACCGAGCCACCAAATATTCAGAGAATGTTACCAGCTCGGTATGAAAACTGGCTCAAAGCTTCCATAGTTCCATAAATGGCCTTGACTCTATATCTCCTGCACAATTAGGGATAAATTTTCGTTTTCTCAAATGAACAAACACAATAGGATCATCTAAAAACTGTGTCTGAATCCCCAAACCTATAGTCCCTCCCAACTCCACTATACAAACTTCAGGTCGCCCTTCTCTCCCATCGACAGGGATCAAGGCGACACGTTCAATCCATTCTTGAATCGCATCCGTAATGTGGGGATGAGCTCCTGGAAGATTTGGAATAAGATAATTGATGATTTTGGCTTTTGACAAGCATTACAAAGAGACTCATTGTTTGACAAGCATTACTCCTAATAACTCTCAGAAATGGGTAAAGATGGATGGCCAATGACGAAAGGAATATTTACAACTCCAAAAGCTTGTTTTATTGGTGGCATATATAGCGGGAAAAGTTTACATACCCTTATGCATCTTCCTCTAAGAAGAGCGCTAGGCCTGGTTATTTGTTAAAAATAATTTGGTGAAATTATAGAGAAACATCATTATCCGTGGCAAGATAATGAAGAGAAACCAAATTTCTTGTTAGCTCCTGCAACATACAAAACATCATACAAGTGGAGATAGCGACTAGGGGTATGTATATGAACAATAGTATTGCCAATATGATTAATATTCATACATGCACCACTTGTTGTACGAAACATGATCATCACTGCTTCTCTACCTCCCAACTAATATGATTTGTTGAACATCAAATGGATTTGAACAGTGAATTCCTCGATGGCAGCAATGGTGCATGCTGGTTAGAACATCTTGAAGAAAGGTTGTACTACGGAGCATTAGAGCATCTCCAATAGTTCCCAAAATAATAATGGGTAAATCAATGAGTTGTTTTCCAAGTGGCAAAAAAAATGTTGGGATCATATTTATTGACTTCTCCAACCGTTTTCAAAATCTTACTTCTAAAATATAGAAGACAATTTTGCATCAGGAATCCCAAACAATTTATAAATCACTCCAATCACTTTTGTACTTTCTTTATCTCTTGTATATTTGTATTGCGAACCATATCCTACTCCTTATTCTTTCCACGTCCTTCCACCTCTAGATTGGCGGATCGATACATACGTGTATATTTCCGCGGGATTGGATTAGCTTTTCCCAAGTGCAGAAAGATTGGAAGTTGAGATAAAGAATTGTTGGAGAGCAGTTTTTTCAATCTTGCTAAAAAATTTAGGTTAGGAGTGGGTTTTGAAAACTCTCGAAGATGCTCTTAGTGTTGTCCATTTATGGCGTTTTCGTTTTTATTTCCTAATAATTGGAAAACAAGAAATGGATTCGAAAAAAATAAGGATGAGTGCTGACCGTGCTGGGCCAGTCAAGGCCCAACAGGACAAGCAGCCCAACCGACCAACTGCCCAACTTATCTCTATAGGCACGGAAAA